TTCTGAGGATTGGTGCCTCTGAATGTGGAGGTTTCCCTGAGGCACCATGGCTCGTAGCCATTGATAGACTTATCCCCCAGGAAGTTGTTTATTCCAGTGGCCATCTCTACATCCTCTGGCAGCAAATTCCACATTTTAATCACTCTCTGTGTAAAGCAGAGTCCATCTGTCTTCATATGTTGGATCTGAAATGGTTCCACCCTCCAAGATATAAGGACCGATGGACTCACATTCTAGCTGTATCTGAAGAAGTGACTGCAGTGACTCACGAAAGCTCCTCCCCTGCCACAAATTTTGTTAGTCTTTCAGGTGCTGCTGGACACTTACTCTTTCCTTCTTTATAAAGTAGTATTTCTTTTTGCCCCCCCAAACCTCCTGCCCATCAGTATACTCCAGCAGAGCGTACTGTCTCTCTTCTTCAGATACAGCGCAAATGTGAGTCCATCGGTCCTTCTCTCTTGGATCTGAAATCAAGCCACCCTCCAAGATACAAGGACAGACGGATTCTCATTCTAGCTGTATCTGAAGAAGTGAGCCAGTGACTCACGAAAGGTCCTCCCCTGCCACAAATTGTGTTAGTCTTTCAGGTGCTCCTGGACTCTCGCTCTTTTCCACCAAAGCAGACCGTGAACTAAGCCCCTGAACTGTACAACGAGAGGATGAGAACCCAGAGAAGCAACGGCATGCCCAATCTAGCAAGGCCAGTCTGCGTGAGGTGGAGGAATTCCGCACGGAGGCAACCCCCCCTTGCTGGAGACACTAGATGCATAGATTAGTCTGTCTGAGATGAACCTCTGAATATGGCGGACACACACGAAGCAGCCTTCTATCGACTCATCCCGTCCGTCCATCAAGGTCACTGCCGCTTACCCTGACTAGCAGTTTGCTCTCCAGGGTCTCCGCTGGACCCTGTCACATCGGCTGCCACTCGACCCCTTTTTATTTAACGGGGGGTGCCAGGCGTTGAACCCGGGACCTTCCGCATGCAAAGCAGATGTTTTGCCGCTGAGCCATTGCCCCTCCCTGACCTCCCACCCAAATTCTTCAGCCGTGTAGTGTGTGCAGAGGTCAACCAATAATTGTTTGTGCGCCTCTTTAGACCAGGGACATCGTCAAGATGAAAAGCCATCGATTTACAGCCGTGCAAATCTATTTACATCCCGGTGGGTTCCAGTTTGGGGGCTGCGGTGGCTCAGAGGTTAAGACCCTGAGCTGCAGACCGGAAGGTCGGTAGTTAGGCAGTTCAAGACCCGCGTGCTGCGTGACGAAGTGAGCTCCCGTCTCTGGCCCCAGCTCCTGCCAACCTAGCAGTTCGAAAGCAAGAAATGGCAAGTAGAGAAATAGGTACCGCTTCGAGGGGGAAGGTAACAGCATTCCGTGCACCTTGGCATCTTGTCATGCCGGCCACAGGACCACGGAAATGTCTTCGGACAGCGCTGGCTCTTCGGCTTGGAAACGGAGATGAGCACCGCCCCCTAGAGTCGGATTCGGTTGGCTTTCAAGCAAGGGAAACCTTTACCTTTACTTAGGTTCCAGTTTGGGGGGAGCAGGAGTTGTCCTCCATCTAAAATGTCTCATTTCTCAAATGCAGTGGACCAAAGGGATTAAGGTAGTTACTCGTCTTTTTTTTTTTAATATAGGGAAATGCAAAACAGGCAGGCTTGAAGTGGGGCGCAGGAGGCGTGCTAATTACAAAGGACTCCACAGATACTGTAAAATAATAATACTCTTCAGCGGGGTGGGGCAGGAGGCGCTCCGGACAGCTTCTCTGGGAAGAGTGGAATATTGTAAAGACGGTTCTGACGGAGGCCTCCTTAAAGAGGGCTTTGGGGGCGCAGTCAGGCTGTTAAAAGGATCAGAGACGCCACGAGATGCCGTACTTTGTGGTCTGCAGAGCTTTTGCAAACATGTGCCTTGTGTCTGTGTCTCTTACTAACTAACTTTAGGAATCAGCCTGCTAACAACCCCCTTCCCCCCCCTGCTGGAAGATTAAAGAGATAACCTTGCTGTTATATCGTCCCAGCCCAGGCCTGAGTCCTCGAAGGCTTCGAATCCCATTAGGTTGGGTTTCATGGCTCGTTCTCAGTTTGTCTCGCAGTTGGTCGAACAGCGGCTTTCCTTGCATTCGAGCGTCTTAACGAAATTCGGCGGATGTCACACATTTGATGGAGGTTCCCACCTGCTGTTAAGGCCAGGGTTTGGGGTCCAATTGAACACAGTTGGAGTCCAGTGGCACCTTTCAGACCAACAAAGTTTTGTGCAAGGCGTACGAACTTTCATGTGCACGCACACGTCTTCAGGTCTTCCGGATCTAACTGTTAGGTCGGACCAGTTCACGAAATAAACTTCTGTAAAAGGATTACCAAAATAAGCGCACATCCCGGAGAGCTGTTCTGGAGACACCCCCCCTTAAGGGGCTAGAGGTCAAGGCCCAAGTTTGTCACTTGGCCTTTGGAGTGCCAAGAACTACCGTCCCGTGCAGAAGAAAGTCTCCGACTTGCAATCAGTGTTCCCTCTAAGCTAAGTTACTGTGAGCAAGCTCACAGTGCTTTAGCCTCCGGCTCACACATCTTTGTCTCAGCTCAGGACGGATGGGGCTCCAGAGCAAACTCAGTTATGCAGTAGCCAAATCACTTGCACACAACTATAAAGCCAGTAGCTGACAAAGTAGAATTTTTGCTCCCAAGACTCCACAGCTTAGAGGGAGCATTGCTTGCCACGTGTCTCATTGGCTGGTCTTAGAGATTCTGGGGCCCCTGGCAAAACTGGAGGGTGGCGAAAACCAAGATGAAAAGGGGGGGGGACTCAGCCCAAGATATGGCTGTGATCTATAAGGGTCTAGCTAACAAAACAAGTTGTTATAAAAATACAAATATTTATTATGGTTGTACACGTTAGTAAAAGGTAAGAATAGGTTAAAAGAAATGAACCAAATAGCAGACTCTTAAAACTTTATTACTACCTTTGATGGGCCAGGGGTCATTTCGTGCGAGAGCGCATGGGAGCAGAGCTCTGGCAGTAAGGAGCCCAGGGGGCGGGCACATGCAACAAGCCCCGCTCCCTGCTCCCAGCAGCCCTCAGTCGGGCCATGAGGTGCAAGAAGCAGCCAGGAAACTTGCAGAGCTCCCCCTGGCCCCCCCGGTCCAAAATAGTCCACCGCTCAGGCTCCACTGGACTGTTTTGGATTCCTAGCTATCGGGGGGGGGGAGGAACGTGTAGATCTGTCCTCGCAGAGGAGGGAGAGCTTGTACCTGAATAAAACTTGGTCTTAAAGGTGTCACTGGACTGTTTTGGGGTGGGGGGGGAGGCCTGGAACTTACCTGCTTCTTGCTCTGACTGAGAGTTGTGGGGTTGGTTGTTGTGACCCATATGCACTTTTGTCAAATATTTCCATTATGCCTGTGTGCAGAAATGCCACCTTGTGTGTGGGTTTAACGTCTTGTGGGCTGGATGGGAGGAGACGGTCAAAATCGAGGTAGGCCTCGGCCTAGTCTCCTCCTCATTCCCCCCCTCCCCTCCTGTCTCCAACCTGTAATCTGAGGGCAGCTCCTTACAGAGGACAGGAAGTCCATCAAGGTGATGAGGAGGTCTGCCCCAGAAGGCTGCAGGAGGGAGAACCAGTGCCCGGGCGGGAAACAGCTGTTTATATTCTCGAGTTTTTGGTTGGTCGGTCGGAGCTTGCAAGAGACAGAGGCAGGTCTGGCCCTGTTCCCGGGCCAGAGACGGAGGCCATTTTGGGAGACGTGTTTGTCCGGCTTACTCCAGAGTAATGAAGTAATGCACCTGCCCTGCGTGCCACCTAGAGAAAGTCCCACAGGAAACCAGAAACAGAAAAAAGAAAAAGAAATGAACTTCTGAGGGACGACCCAATTAAGTATGAGAGCAAAGCTCTTCAGTCTAGTAAACGGCAAACGGCTCAAACATGATAGAGTCCACAATATATAGAAGTCCTTGCAAAAGGTCCAAAAAGGATCCACAAAAGGAAGACCTGACTCCATGGTGAGAATGTAGAGCAGCAGTTGTAAATTTATTCAAACGAAGCCACGTTGATGATGAGGTTTCCAGACTTCTTATTCGCGTCTTTTCTAAATATTCTTCTTCAGACCAACGCATTAATCTATAACCAAAATAAACGTACCACAACATATATTTGTTGCAAAATAAAATGCCTAAAGCCCCCAATACAAGTCAACCTCTTACACTGCTTTCTTTTATTCTACCACCTAGATAGGGCGTGAGTTTGGGGGGAGGAAGAGGTTTTGTCAACATTATTTTGTTTCTTCCATTCACTTCTGATGTGCCGGTGTATATAGAGTCGAGAGTTTTAAATAAATCCTTTTGATTATTGAAGGAGTGAAGTCCCCGCGTACCACGTAGTTCCCCCAGCAGCTTGGAAAGGCAAGGAGTGGGTCTGGGGATCCCTAGGGAAGAGAAAAGTGGTAAAACAGCCAGTTGCCAATTCTCCAAGGGAGCACCAAAGATCCCTGCAAAGCCCCAAGGCGGGTTCCTAGGGATGCCAGAGGGAGGTTGTGGCAGCAGTATCCTGAGGCAGTGGAGTGGAACTGCCCCTTCAGGTGCCAGGTCAGGCAAAGGAGGGGTGGGCAGAGCGGGGCCCTCCAGCTGACGCAGGCCCGTTCCGCCACATTCTGTTTAAGAGCAATCAAGAAGCAGCAACTGTGTATTCTCTTCAGAAAGGGAGGGGGGGTGTGGTATTCATGGATCACCGTCACCCCTAATGCTTCTGTAGGACTTTCTGGACGCCCTATTTGTGAGCAAGGACTCCATGGCATCCCCTGAGTGTTCTGTGTGTCAGCTATTATACGCCACTTCCAAAGTCGTCACGTTATTTTTTGTGTGTGCTCGCAGGATCGATTTGCTGCATAAAGAATTCAATTGTGGGGTGACGCGTGCTGGGGAGGGGGGTGTTATTCTGTCCCAAGGCTGCGAACATCAAGGTTTTGGCAGTTCCTAACTTCGTGGTCCCATCCCGTTTCAGGGCTTCAGAGAGTCCGGCAGCTGGCGGAAAACACACGGTACTTCCGAAGAAGACTCCACGAACTCGGCTTCATCATTTACGGCAACCAAGATTCTCCTGTTGTCCCCCTGCTTTTGTACGTCCCTGGTAAAATTGGGTATGTATCTTCCGCTATTCCAGGTATCCAGTGTGTGTGGACTCTAATCTGGGAGAACTGGGTTTGATTCCCCTCCTCCACTTGCACCTGTTGGATGACCTTGGGCAAGCCATAGTTCTATCAGAGCTGTCCTTGAAAGAGCAGTTTCTGTCAGAGCTCTCTCAGCCCCATCCGCCTCACAGGGTGTCTGTTGTGGGGAGGTGTTAGTCGCTCTGAGACTCGAGTGAAGAGCGGGGAATAAATCCAATCTCTTCTTTTTCTTCTTCTCGACGAATTTTTCAGAATTCGTAGAATGATGCCGTCACAAGGTTTTTCACCTTGTTTGATATACCCTTTGAAAGTTTAATAGCATTTGGGGGGGGGGTTAAAGATTGGTATATCTGGGAATTCTTTTGGAATCAGTTTAGTGCTCTCGATAGACTTTTTGAAAAGAGAGTTTTGCCAGCTGGCTATTCCTCAGCGACAGCCACCTTTGTTTCCTCAGAAATTCTCGCTTATCGCTGTCGTTGATAAATGTGGGAGGAAAAGGTTAACCAATCCGTGTCTAAGGCTTTCGGAGTCACCCTAAGCAAAGTTACCCAGCATTGCAAAAGTTGAAATCAGTGGGCTTAGAAGGATGTGATTCCCCTTAGGATAGCACCGGTTGTCTCAGATGTCCCTGGTTGTTTTCATATATGACCCTTCGTACATAATGATGGACTAAGGTGTGGGGGGAGTATCCTCCAGTTTGGGGAAATTAACCAATTCTTCTCGCTTACTTACCCAGGGCTTTCTCTAGACGCATGTTATCAAAAAATATTGGGGTGGTTGTCGTCGGCTTCCCAGCAACCTCGCTCACAGAAGCCAGGGCTCGTTTTTGCATCTCAGCTGCTCACACTCGAGAGATGTTAGACAAGGTAAGCACGACCCATGGCCAGGCAGGTAGCATGATGTATTGTGCATGTTGCAGAGGAGACTCACATTACCAATGGCTTCGTGTTTGTCCGGTCATCAATGCTCAGCTATGGGAACTTTGATTTTTTTTTAAAAAAAAAAACAGTTACAAAGAGGATAAAAAATTGCACACAAACGTTGCTGCATGTTGCTGGTAAAGAAAACAGAGAGCCAGCAAGGTAGGCTTCAGCGTATTTGACCGAACCAGATTAAATGGGCCAGTCCTTCCCACCAACAAATAGGGCCTTTCAGTTTTTAATTTTTTTTAATCCGCAGTTGAATATCACTATATCGATGTAACACTGTAGCAGGTCCTCTGAATCCCCAGCTTTCAGTTTAGAAAGTAAGGCACTAGCCCCTCTCCTTATGCAGACAAAAGGAGACTTATTTGTTTTGGAAAATGAAAGCTGGAAATTCAGAGAACATGCTATTTTAAAAAAAATATTTTTTTAATTTATTAATTCAGTTTATATCCCGCCCGCCCTGCCAGGGCAGGCTCAGGGCGGCTTACATAAAATCCCATAGATAAATACAATGAAAACCAATCAAATGCAATGAACATGAAGTTAAGTAAACTCCAGAGGACGACGGAAGACAGGAGGGCCTGGTGTGATGTGGTCCATGGGGTCGTGGAGAGTCGGACTCGTCTGTGCGATTGAACGACAATAACAACATCGCCTGACTGAGGAAGCCAGGAAAACCTCTTCATCTGGGATTATCCCAGACACTGGGCCAGACAGCTACTTATTTTCGTTCTCTAACTGATTACCTTCAAAGAAGGGCCTTTACGTTAGCCAGATTTAACGTATTGCCCTCGGCCATCTTCTCTGGAAGATACCAGAAAATCCCCCATGAACTTAGGCAATGCCCCTCCGGTCAGGGTGCCATCAAATCCGTTTCCCACATTCTTTTAAATTGTCCATTTTATACTAAGATTCAAGAAGAATTTCTGGACACCCTTCTTTTTACATGGCGTGGTCTCCCTGAGAGTATCAAGGTCCAGTTGCTACTCTCTGGGCAAAATGCTTCGATAACTTTTAATGTTGCTTGTTTTCTTCAATCTGTAATTCGAACCAGGGAAACTATTAATTGATCAGTTCTTTTTTGTTGGCTGTTCGATAGCCATACCTTTGATGTATCCCTAAATTTTAATGTTATCTTATCTCTTACATGCCAATAAAGGTTGTCTGTCTGTCCAAGAACAACAAAACCAATAATAAAACAACATAAACAACATAGATATAAACAACATAAACATTCTGTTCTATCAAGCCTGTCCCCATCTGTGGATACTTAAATCCATGGATCAGGGCCAGATTGGCAGGAGGGAGATTTTTTTCCCCCCAGACTCGGAGGACCGTCCCCTAGGTTTAAAAAAAAATCTAAAAGCAGAGGGGAAGCGGGGCTGGAGTAAAAGAAACCCCAAACGAGGGAACGAGGGAAGTGTTGTCTACGCAGCTGCAGAGAACATAAAGGAAAGAGGTTTTGGAGGAGTTGGATCGCCTCTGCTGCCTGGCAGAAACACAGCTGGAAGGGCAGAAGGACGCCGGCAGTGGTCGGAACCCAACTCTCTCCTTCCTTTGGCAGCCGTGGGGGAGAAAGAAGACAAGCTGTGGTGGCAGGGAAGAGGCGGCGCTGCTGCTTTTTGCTTCGGTTGCCAGTGTAGGCCCCAGTGCAGGAGTGAAAGGGAGTAAGCAGCAGAGGCCGGGCGAATGGGGCTTCTTGCCCCACCTGCTGCCCCCCCGTCCCCCTCAGAGAAAGAAGCTGAGCGCGTGGGGGGAGGCGGGGAGAAGAAGAGAGGGAGCAAGCGGAGGAGGCGGGCATGATTTCCTTGTGGGCTCCCGCTGGTATCGTTCTAGGCTTCTATCGCCGTCGCCGTCTTCGGTTTGCCAGTTTTTTGTTCAAAGACCCTGGTTGGGCTGGGGGAGGAAATGGCCGCTGTGAGGGAAACGGCTTCCCCACGTGGGCGGAGCTGGGGAAACCCGGACTCCCCCACCCGCTCGGCGGTTTCTGAAAGGAAAAGCCAAGGAAACCCCAGGAAGTGCGTCCGTGCCAATGTCCCCTCTAAGCTTACACATTTTTGCCTTGGCTCAGGAAGGATGTGGCTCCAGAGCAAACTAATGTATGCAGCGGCCCAATCGCTCGCTCACAACGTGAGTGCCAGCCGCTCACGAAGTAGAACTTTTGCTCACAAGACTCCACAGTTTAGAGGGAACATTGGTCAGTGCCCCATGATGCTGTGGGGGAAGCGGGGGGGGAACCCCTTCATGCTACTTTTAGTCTTTTTGGAAGTATGAAACCATGCTGGGAGCCTTCCTTTACAGAATGACTAGACACTGACGGGGGCACATCTGCAGTGGGAGGTACCTAGTTTGGCGTAGTGGTTAGGAGCGCAGACTCTAATCTGGGAGAACCAGGGTGATTCTCCACTCCTCCACATGCAGCTGCTGGTGTGACCTTGGGTCAGTCACAAGTTCTCTCAGAGCTGTTCTCTTAAGGGCAGTCCTCAAAAGAGCTCTCAGCCCCACCTACCTCACAGGGTGTGGGGAGGGGATGGGAGGGGATGGGAAAGGAGATTGTAAGGCGCTCTGAGACTCCTTCACGGTGTTCCCTCTAAACTGAGTCAGTGTGAGTTAGCTCACAGTTTTTCAGCCTCCAGCTCACACATTTTTCTCCTAGCTCAGGAAGGGATGGCTCCAGAGCAAACTAATGTATGCAGCGGCCAAATCGCTCGCTCACAACTTTAGTGCCAGTAGCTCACATAGTAGAATTTTTGCTCACAAGACTCCACAGCTTAGAGGGAGCATTGCTCCTTCGGGTAGTGAAGGGCAGGGTATAAATCCAATCTCCTCCTCCTCCTTCTCCTTCTCTTCTTCTTCATCTGGCACTTGGTCTGCAGTGAAAACAGCTAGGCCATCTTGAAGTCTTGTTTCCTTTCCCAAAGGTGGCGGTTTTATCCAATCAGTCTGTACAGAGTACAACTTTCTGACTTGATTGAGGAAAACTAGCTAAGGGACCTTCTCCCTTGCATTTGGCGAAGGGGGAGGAAAGTGTAAAAGATCAACACCCTTTTGTTCCCCTCTGTGCTGTGGGCCTGAGGAGCCAAAGTCTGCCCTCTCGTAGCACACAATTACAAAAACAGGATAATAGGATGGATTCAACTCCTAGAGTTACCCGCCTCCAGACAGGATCTGGCATTCTCCCAGGATCACAGCTCTCATTTTGAGACTGCGGGGATCCGTTCCCCTGGAGAAAACGGCCGCTTCAGTGGGGGGAACTCTACTGAAGTCGCACCTCCGCCAGGACCCCTTTTCTTCCCCCATTCTGTACTTTCCAGGCACTGTCCCCTAATCTCCAGGAATTTCACGAACCAGAGATGTCAATCCTACCATTCTATCCCCTTCGGCTTCATTTTCGATCTCCCCCTGCTAGCCTAATGGTCCAACTTCTAGCTGACTCCTATACATCCGAGTGGTCACAGGCCGTAGTGAAAAATGTGGGTACACTAGGTATCGACCTGGAACCCCTCTATAACTGTGGTGTGATAACCCCAGTTTCTAGGAGGGTTTTTATGCTTGCAAGGTTCAACCTTTTCCCCTCAGTAGTGGTCTCAGGTAGATACAGGGGTGTTCCGTACAGGGATAGACTTTGTAACTGTAATCTTGGGGAACCTGACTCTATTACCCATATCCTTCTCCGCTGTCCCAAATACTCCGTTATGCGCAATATCTTGATTCGCCCTTTTCTCCCTTTGCAGAGAGATTTTCTGGACAGGGATTTAATTTTTTTTTTAGCAGGAAAGAGCCCAGCAATAACACTATCTGTCGCTGAATTTTTGACCTACGTATGGAAGTCAAGAGTAATACTCTGTAATTCTTGTAAATCATGTTAGGATTGTCTTGTATTTTGGAATATCGGGAATATTGGTTGATGTTGTTCTTGTACGACTCCTTAAACTTTTCCTTGCCTGGTTTACTTATATTATGCCAATAAAGGTTTCTGTTCTGTAATAGAGAAAGCAAGGACTTCTGTGATGCTGGTTCAAGATCAGGGGTCCTCGACCTTTTGGGGCCTTTGGAATCTTAACACGGCATGGTGGGCTCAGCCACAAAATGGCTGCTGCCGGGGGGGGGGAGATAACCCCCAAACGGTCACCACAGCGAAGGTCCTTGTGGCGTCAGCTGCTGCCAAAGCGACGCTGTTTAAAAATCTGCACCGCCAGTCAACTCTCCAGTGGCCAATCCAAAGCCTTTGCTGGGCAAAAGCCCCACTTTTAAAGACACACTTGGCGGGCATCAGGGAAGGCACTGTGCCCCCCGTGGGCGCCGTGTTGGGGACCTCTGCTCGAGACGTTTAAGTAGAAGCAAGAGGAACTTCTGTCATCCTTTTAAACATTTCTTAACGCTGTACAATTGCGTTTCAGGTTCTGCAAGCTCTGGACGAACTGGGTGACTTCTTGACTCTGAAATACTCCCAGCATTCCAAGCCGTATCGTCCGGAACTGTACAACGGAACAAGCTTTGAAGTTGAAGGTTAAGCTCCCGTCCCATGAAGAAGACCCATTGCCAGGGGGGAGATAAGGAAACCTATAACAATAGGAAAGCATTTCTTCTGTTCGAAAGACAGTTTTTGCTTCTCTGTTAACTCAGTCGAGGGAAGCCCTGTAATGTGCGTTACTGGGTCGGATTCTGTGGGCAAGAGACTGGAATATTGCCACGGGTTTATCCCCACCGAGAAATATGTGTTGTATTATTATTATTAATATTATTATTATTATTTTTGGTGCAAAAAAAGAGAAGACTTTGTTCTGTTCATTCAGTTGCTACTGTGCAGCCGTTGTGTGCCTTTTAACGGGCAGGTTTTGGATAGTTCTTAATAATGGTTACAATAATTTTTTGGGAAAAGAATTACTTGCCACATAAGAATGTTGAAGTAAAATGTCATTTGTTGGGTTGGTTTTCATCTGCGGAAAGGGGGGCGTGGCATCTTCGCTTCATGACCTGACTCCGAGGTGACCAGTGCTTGCAGGTGAGAGAGTGGTCATTCGGGAACCAACTTGACGTTAACTGTTTTCAATGGATGGGGTAAGGGGACTGAAAAGCTCTTTTCCGGATGGTATTTCAAAAGGAAATGTTTGTTGTGGTCCTCAGTTTGACAAGAAAAGGGCAAGCCGCAAAACGCTTAAGTATACGTACATCTCGGTTTTGATTCTAATACGGTCAACGCACTGAATTCTTACAAATAAAAACTGAAAATTCCTTTTTATTAGCGTGTTGGGCCTTTCACGCGAGTCCGTGGGCTTCTCCCTGTGCATTTTCCATAACCGCTGAAGTGTCCTGTTGGCCTCGCACATCTCTGTAAGCACCACGAAGTAGAATTGACATTTGTGAGCCTCTTTCTATTCTTGAACTCCTTCCGGGTTTGATAAACACACTTGTTAAGCGAGTAACATTTTGGGTGACTGTTACGCAGAATATAATACTCAGGGAGTGTGCTGTTTTGTGGCCCCGACAACTGTTGAATGGAAAGGCTGCTGGCTCCTTTTTATATTGTGATTTTTTTTTTTAACGGCTACTTCACACAGTTGGACAGTCAAGGTTCTTGTTTTGCCGTGAGGTTAATAGAGCTACACAGTTTGTGGGAGGTTTTCTAAACGTTACGACTGTTAACCAGCCTTAAGTGCACAAGCGATCTGAAAAGGGCCTATAAGAAAAGGATTTGTCACCGGGGTCCCATGCCGTTGCACCAGATGAACCGGGAAATGACTAATTCAGATGGTTCCATGGAAAACGGGGGGTCTCAGCCATTAAGGGCTTCCGTTGCCTGTTACTCTTTTTGTTTTGTTTTAAATAAACGGGTTGAAAGTCATTTCTGTAGCACTGAGGGAAGGGCGAGCCGTTCTACGGTATCTGATGGCACTGTAAACACATCCACTCGAGAGAGGGTTGGCTTTCTGTTGCACAGATGTACTCCGCTTTCATGTTCTTAAAAGCCGCAGTATCCATTTAACCCACAGCTGCAAAATTAGATTTAAGAACAGAACAATTAAATTGTGGAATAGCAGTTACAGCATACGGCTCCCCTGCTTCTTAAAGCAGCTTTGAGGATAAAGCAAGGCCAATTCGTTCTGAGGCCTTCTCTATTTTTGGTTGTTGTTCGTGTTAATAAAATCCAATGCTACTATAATGTTAAAAATGGACCGCGACACATTCCGGAATATCAGACGTCTGATTTAAAAAGTGGATTAGGGGGATGGGGGGGAGTCTGGGAAATTGTGCAGCGTTGTATGATTGTTCACTTCGGCACATGAACTTGAGGGACACTACAGGAGAGGCGAAGGGAGCCATGTTTGTGCACTCTAGTTAAGCCGCTGTATGAAGATTAAATAATGTTTTTGTGTTTTTTATGTTTTTGAATTTGGCTCTTTTTTTTTCCTGTTCCAGCTTGTAACTTGAATTTCTGTGCGCGAGGTGTCTTGCCAAGGCATGCCAGATCTGAATGAACTTTCTACGAATGAATGCCCAAGGGCATTCGGGATCCACACGTCACAGGTGGTGGCAGCGGAGCAGAGAGTTTGCTTTGGTGTTGAGCCAGTTTGGTGTTGTGGTTAAGTGCGCGGACTCTAATCTGGGAGAACCAGGTTTGATTCCCCACTCCTCCACTTGCACCTGCTGACGTGACCTTGGGTCAGTCACAAGCTCTGGCACAGCTGTCCTTGAAAAAGAGCAGTTTCTGTCAAGAGCTCTCTCAGCCCCGCCTACCTCACAGGGTGTCTGTTGTGGGGAGGGGAAGGGAAAGGAGTTTGTAAGCCGCTCTGAGACTCCCTTGGGTAGTGAAGGGCGGGGTATAAATCCAATCTCCTCTCCTCCTCCTCTTTGCCGCCACAGAGTAGTGACAGTCCCTTGAATGAGGGTCGCTGTCAGAACCCACAGCCAACAACGAAGTACATGCATTCAGGAATGGTTATACTTTTATTGCAGAGCTATAGATGCAGTAACATAGGCACTGTTAAGAATGGCAGCGGCCCCATGGGCATAATAGGATATAGGGTATTCGTATGCAAACCCACCCACCCCCACAGCACTGGCCAATTAGGCAGCCTCCCGTGCACAGGCTAAGGCTCAGAGACCGTTAGGTAGCTGAAGCTGAGAACAAACACTCTCCCACGGCACCTAGGGCAATCCCAGACACCACAACACCCTCCTGCACATCTGTATAGATAAGCGTTTCGGTGCACAGCAGAGACAGCAGAGAAAGGAATGCAATAGCAATTAACCTGAAAGGAAAGCAATAGCAATTACCCAGACACAGACCAACCTCCCCAACTTTCATGGCAGCATAGCTGACAGTCCCAGCCCTCGGGGTGGGGTGGGGCTTCCTGAAACAGTTGCTCCGTCAGCTTTGCGACATCAGTTCTGGCTGCATAACAGGAAATGACATCGCTGTGCCATTCCAGGGTTTCACCGCAGAGTTTCAGGTGAACTCGACAGCATCCCACAATGTGATGACATCGCTTCCAGTTGTGCAGCCAGCAGTGATGTTACGCCGTCAACAGGTGCTGTTTTGCCCCTCCCCGTGTTCCGCCACCGCCCCACAGATATCCGTCAGGGAAGCAGCGTCGTGGCGGAAGTTCTCCTGCTGGCAGTGGGCGAATGTGACCAAGAAAACTCTGAGCGGGGGATGCCTTCCAAAGACTCCCAAATGATACAAAAGTTATACCAGTTAAAAATTAATGACTGAAACGTCTATTGAAAACGATGCAGCACTTTGGTTCATTGTGACATCAGTACTGATAAATTCACAGAATTACAGGATTCCAGTTGCCAACTAAATCCAATAGGATGTAGTTAAACAATTAAATAAGGAAATAGTTAGAACATCCCATAAATAGGGGGACAATAACCTTCACGAAACACTTATAATAATCATACAGAGTAATTACATGAAGACATAACGATCACAATGAGGAAAAATGACATCAGCAGTGAGGAGTAAAGATGCCAGTAACAGCGATATAAGGTTCCGGTTTACTTCCCTTGTTTCCTTAAACATTCTTCCTCAGTCGCTATTACAGAGACAATTAACTCTGTAATGAGTGAAACAATGAGAACATCTTTTCAGGTCTCCCACAGGAGTAACCTCCCTCTAAGCTGCAGGGTCTTGTGAGCAAAAATTCTACTCTGTGAGCTGCCGGCATTCAAGTAGTGAGTGAGCGATTTGGCTCCTGCATCAATTAGTCTGCTCTGGAGCCACCCATCCTGAGCTGAGACAAAAATCTGTGAGCCAGAGGCTAAAAAACTGTGAGCTGGCTCACACTCACTCAGCTTAGAGGGAACACTGGCTGACAACCTCCTGGTCTCCCGTCCGGGATAGAGAGCTTATATATTCATCAACAAGGAACCTATGCTCCACAGTCAATTCGGCACAGCCTGGTAACGTTCCAAGATGGGAAGTTTTACTGGCAAAACTTTCATATCATTTGGGAGTCTTTGGAAGGCCGCCCACTCCCGGAGTTCTCTTAATTGGTCACAGCAGCTCTTTGACTCCGTCGTCCGTTGTTGTTGTTTTTATCGTCTGGGCAGTGGGCACCCCACCCCCCCACTCCCTCTCAAAAGCATTTAAAGTGCTTTTGAGGAGAAGTGGGGGACCTTTAAGGAAGGGGCTAGCCCTTTAAGGAAGGGGGCGGTGCCCCCGATAGCCCTGCTGCAGTCAGTCTGGTGTTGTGGTTAAGTGTGCAGACTCCAATCTGAGAGAACCGGGTTTGATTCCCCCCACTCCTCCACTTGCAGCTGCTGGATGACCTTGGGCACGCCGTAGTTCTGACAAGAGCTGTTCTTGAAAAAGAGCCATTTCTGTCAGAGCTCTCTCAGCCCCACCTGCCTCACAGGGTGTCTGTTGTGGGGAGGGGGAGCTTGTAAGCTGCTCTGAGACTCCTTTGGGTAGTAAAGGGCGGGGTATAAATCCAATCTCCTCTTCTTCTATAACCCATGTTTGGTTGTGTTTACATCAAGTTTTCCTCCACTGGTGCGCTTTCTGACCAGCCATTCCATTGTTCCGATCTCCTTGGTAAACCAAGAGGTACTCTGGGATTCGTGGGACGAGAGGAGGAGGTCTGCAGCGATGGTGTTGACCACCCGAGTCCAATGCTCCCTCTAGGCTGTGGAGTCTTGTGAGCAAAAATTCTACTCTGTGAGCTGCCAGCATTAAAGTTGTGAGCGAGCGATTTGGCTCCTGCATCAATTAGTTTGCTCTGGAGCCCTCCTTCCTGAGCTAAGGCAAAAATCTTCGAGCTGGAGGCTAAAAAACTGTGAGCTAGCTCACACTAACTCAGCTTAGAGGGAACACTGCTCAAGTCATCTACGCGTCGCACAGATCAACCACCGTTTCGGCAGGCATGCATCTTTCTTGACCCGGAAACCCCAAAGAGCTGTCCAATCCTCCAGAGCCATCGGTCTCCTTCTGGAGCAAAGTATCCTAAAAGCAGACACAGGAAGCTGCCTTATATTTCTTTTATTTTATATGGAATCAGACCACTCATCTGTCACTGTCAGAGTCATCTGCTCAGACTGACAGCTGTTCTCCAGGGTCTCAGGCGGAGATCTTCCACATCACCTCCTGCCTTGTCCTTTCAATAGGAGATGCTGGCGATTGAACCTGGGGCCTTATGCATGTCAAGCAGAGGCTCAGGCACTGAGCTATGGGCCCCCCCCCATACTGAATCAGGTTCTTCGTCCATCAAGGTCAGTATTGTCTGCTCAGACTGGCAGCTGCTCTCCAGCGTCTCAGGCGGAGGTCTTCTACTGCCAGATCCATATGTGGAGATGCCGGGGATTGAACCTGGGACCTTCTGCATGCCAAGCAGAGGCTCTTCCACTGAGCCATGGCCCCACTTCATGGCTCTTCAGGGTCTCAGGCGGAAGTCTTTCACATCACCTGCTGCCTAGTTCTTTTAACTGGAGATACAGGAGATTGAACCTGGGACCTTCTGTAGGCTAAGCAAAGGCTCTACCACTGAGCCACAGCCCCTCTTCACAGCTCTCCAGGGTCTCAGGCTGAGGCCCTTCCCATCACCTCCTGCCTGATCTTTTTAACTGGAGATGCCGGGGATTGAACCTGGGACCTTCTGCATGCCAAGCAGAGGCTCTGCCACTGAGCCATGGCCCCTCTTTACAGCTCTCCAGGGTCTCAGGCGGAGGTCTTTCACATCACCTTCCTGATCGTTTTAACTGTAGATGCCGGGCCTTGAACCTGGGAC